TTTTAAATGAGTACTTATTTTATTTCAGGCAGTCTTCTAAGTGTGTGACCTTTTTCCTCTCAATCACATAAGAAGTAGATGTTACTACACAGATGTGACCATTGAGACAAAATGAGTTTGCAAAATTACACTGCTGGTCATTGAAAGCCAGAAATTAAACTTACAATTTGACCTTGAAGCATTGTCTTGCAACCACTACATTCTACCTCTTTACTTAAACTGTGTTCACTTAAGAATTCCAAAGACCAGGTGACAGAGTACCAAGTTAAAAAGGACACTGTTTTAAATACAAATATAAAATCTAGCATAGGTTCCACATTTCCAGTACTATCATATATTCATAATATAAAACTTCCTGAAGAGAACTATGTTTTAGTTCTGGATACTAAAATTTTATTTATACAATACCTAAGAGCAATCATTAATAATCTTACTGTGTATCTTTTCTTAGATTCCAAGTGGCATATGGATTTCTAGAGAAAAACAAAAATATCTTTCACATTTCTCAGTAACTTTCCTTCTGGTAGGTTGACTGTTATATAATTAGGCAACACTTTCCTAGAAGACTAACCAGTCAGATGTTCCTGGGAGAATTTTGACAAACCAGTTTGAAACTTCAAATTCTGAATTATTCACTGTCTCAAGCAAAGTCAGTTCTCCAAAGAGGTTTGGATCTGGACTACAATATTTAGCGACAGTATACATAATCTTGCAGAGGAGAGTGTGTCTCTTAACTCATAGTTTTGTTTTTCAAAAATCTATGTTTATTGCTAATGTTTCTTTTATTTTTGTGCTAATTTTTCAAATAAGTTTAAATCCAATTTTTTTTCAATATTGAAATTTGAAAGTCAAGAAAGCTTAGTTCTCCCTTACCTGATCTATTTCCAGTTTCATTTCTTTAGGGATTTTGCTGGTTTCCAAAACAAGTTGTGATATCACTAGAGTATCTATGCCCTTGAGCTCTTAAATTAGTCCAATTTATGTCTATTGTTTTGTTATAATTATTAAGAGTAGACCCTTTTACTATCACAAATGATCAATGTTAGATGACCAACTTTATGATTACCTTATGTATGACTCTGTTACATCAGAAAATTAATATTTTTCTTTATTCACAAGGCAAAGGCCCATTTGACTACAAATGGTCTAAATATGTGTCTCAAATTTAAGTATTGTTTAGCAGTTGGAAGTGAAGAATTTTAAGTGATAAAGCAAATTGAAAATATAGATATAAATCAAATAAATGTAGGCTAACATTTTGCATGATTTGGTATTGTATAAATCTACAATCCCTTTCATGGATCACAAACTTGTTGTGGTGAAGGGCCTTGAGTTACTCAGTGAAGCTGAGTCATGTCATACAGGGCTCCCCAAAATGGTCAAGTCATAGTGAAGAGTTCTGACAAAATGTGGTCTACTGGAGGAGGGAATGGCAAACCACTGCAGTATTCTTATCATGAGAATCCATGAATAGTATGAAAAGGCAAAAAGATATGAAACCAGAAGATGAGTTCCCCAAGTCAGAAGGTGTTCAATATGCTACTAGGGAAGAGCAGAAGGCAGTTACTAATAGCTCCAGAAAGGATGAAGTAGGTGGGCCAAAGCAGAAATGACTGGTTGTGTCTGGTGATGAAAGTAAAATCCAATGCTGTAAAGAACAGTATTGATTAGGAACTTAAAATATTAGGTTTATGAATCAAGGCAAGTTGGATATGGTCAAGCAGGAGACAGCAAGAGTAAACATCAACATCTTAGAAATCAGTGAACTAAAATTGGACAGGAATGGGCGATTTAACTCAGATTACCATTATATCTATTACTGTGGGCAAGAATCCCTTAAAAGAAATAGAGTAGCCCTCATAGTCAAGAAAAGAATCCGAAACACAGTACTTGGATGCAATCTCAAAAACAGTAGTATGATCTCCATTTGTTTCCAAGGCAAATCATTCAACATCACAGTAATCCAAGTCTGTGCCCCAACCACTAACACTGATGATGCTGAAGATGACCTGTTCTACCAAGACCTACAAGACCTTCTAGAACTGACACCAAATAAATAAATCAATGCTGTTTTCATCATATGAGATTGGAATGCAAAAGTAGAAAGTCAAGAAATACTTGGAGCAACAGGAAATTTTGCTTTGGAGTTAAAAATGAAGCAAGTCAAAAGCTAACAGTTTCGTCAAGAGAACATGTTGGTCATGCAAATACCCTCTTCCACCAACATGAGACGACTCTGTACATGGACATCAGCAAATGATCAACAATGAAATTAGATAGATAATATTCTTTGCAGCCAAAGGTGGAGAGACTCTATATAGTCAGTAAAAAACAAGACCTAGAGTTGACTGTGGCTCAGATCTTGAGCTCTTTATTGCAAAATTCAGGCTTAAATTGAAGAAAATGGAGAAAACCAATGGACAATTCAACTATGACCTAAATCAAATCCCTTATGATTATACAGTAGAGGTGATGAATAGATTCAAAGGATTTGATCTGGTAGACAGAGTGTCAGAAAAACCATGGGTGGAGGTCTATTACATATACAAGAGGCAGTGACCAACCCTATTCCAAAGGGGGGAAAAATCAAGAATTTAAAGTGGTTGTCTGAGGAGGCTTTACAAATAGTTGAGAAAAGAAGAGAAGCAAAATACAAAGGAGAAAGGGAAAGATACACCCAACCAAATGCAGAGTTCCAGAAAATAGCAAGAGAGGATAATAAGGCCTTCTTAAATGAACAATGCAAAGAAGTAGAGGAAAACAATAGAATGAGAAAGACTAGAAATCTCTTCAAAACAACTGCAGCTGTCATGGGAATATTTCCCAAGGGAATATTTCCCACTTCCCAAGATCCTCCAGCAGGGGATCTTCCCAACCCAGACGGGCATGATAAAGGAGAGAAATAAAAAGGACTTAGCAGAAGCAGAAGAAATTAAGAAGAGGTGGCAAGAATACACAGAAGAACTGTATTTAAAAGGTCTTAATGACCCAGATAGCCACAGTTGTGTAGTCTTTCATCTACAGCTTAAAACTCAGTGTTCAAAAAACTAAGTTCATAGCATACTGCCCCATCACTTCATGGAAAATAGAGGGGGAGGGAGGTGGAAGTAGTGTCAAATTTTATTTTCTTGGACTCAAAATCACTGCAGACAGTGATTAGAGCCATGAAATTAAATGACACTTGCTCCTTGAAAAGAAAGTTCTGACAAACCTAGACAGCATATTAAAAAGCAGCAACATCACTTTACTGATAAATGTCTTTATAGTCAAAGCTATGGTTTTTCCAGTAGCCATGTACAGATGTGAGAACTGGACTATGAAGAAGGATGAGTATCAAAGGACTGATGTTTTCAAATTGTGGTGGATACACTCCTTTGCGTGTGTGCTAAGTCATTTCAGTCATGTCCAATTCTTTTTGACCCAGTGGACTGTAGTCTGCCAGGTTCCCCTGTCCATGGGATTCTCCAGGCAAGAACAATGGAGTGCTTGGCCATTTCCTCCACCAGAGGATCTTCCCAACCCAGATATCGAACCTGCATCTCTAATGTTTCCTGCATTGGCAGGCAGGTTCTTTACCAATAGTGCCACCTGGAAAGTCCGGATACACTCCTGGGAGAAGACGAAAGTAGAGTATTACAATGCAGCAAGGATTTTTGTTCTCAGCTCCATGGATAAATTAGAGTTAATAGAAAACACGAGTATCTTGTTGAAATTGATGTGAAACAGACAGTAAGGAAGATAATATCTAAAGAAAACTTCAATATGGGAAATTATAGTCTTTTTTATCTTCAAAGTGGAGAGCCTGAACAGTTTTGAAATTTCTTTTAATACAAGATAATGTTCCTGTCATATAACTGTGAATACACTGTAAATATCATTATATATTTTTAAAGTATATAATATGATTCCTTTCTTATAAACAAGGAGTTGCAATCAACAAGTTTCTAAAACCCTCACTTGTATATTTTATTTAGCACATAATATTTTTCTAAAATGTACAATGCCAGTTAATTCTAGGAGTACAATTAAGAACTGGAGAGAAAAAATTTTTTTTCTTTTACTTGTTTACTCTAAAAGATAGAAAATCAGAGTTATGGTTTATTTTTTGCAATATTTTAAAATTGTAACTCTTGGATAATTATTAATTTTAATTAAGTAATCTGTAATGAGAATCTGCCTACCAATGCAGGAGACCTGAGTTTGATCCCTGGGTAGGGAAGACACCCTGCAGAAGGAAATGGCAACCCACTCCAATATTATTACTTGGGAAATCCCATGGACAGAGGAGACTGGCAGGCTGCAGTCCATGGGGTCACAAAGAATTGGACACAACTTAGCGACTAAACAACAATTTATACCAGAATGAATGAACTAGTTACCAGAACTAGAACACCCTAAACAAACAACAAATTCCTTGGTGGTATAATTAAAATGCCACCAAAGTTTATACAATAATTATATTTTCTTTTTGCAGTTAAAAAAGTTCAGACCACATATAATGTAAATTATTCCACAAGGTAAATAATTAAAATAAATAATATGGATTAATTGAGTTTTAAGAGGTGAAATGAATAATGAATTCTTCTCATGGTCTTGTATGTTAATAGAAATTGAAAATTTTTGAAGACCCCATTTTGTCCCAAGAATTTCCTTTATAGGTATTGAATTTTTCAAAAGTTACAAAGGAAATTTTATTGATATAAATGCATGTTCTCATAATAACCATAAATCTAGGGTTTGTTTTTTTTTTTTGCATTTTAATTTAGAACAATGCCATTCCATTTCCTGTATAATTTGGTACCAGAACATGAATCACTTCTTTGTTGTAAACTCTCCTTAGAATTTCTTGGGAGAGGAATTGAACAGAACGTTGATTTCCTATGTGAGAGAATTCTTAGAATTTAAATAAACCTATTGGTTAAACTGAAACCACAAAATTAGCATTTTACTAATCACTAGGTTTAAATAGCTTAAAAGCAAAAGTCTGCCATCACCTTGATCATCAACCCAGCTTGCTGCTTCTTCCCAGTCTTGGGTTCAAGGTATTGTGTATACATATAACAAAATTTCTATGATTTTCCTCTGTCTCATCTTTCATTCTTCACTAATACGCTGTTGCAACTTTTCTATGTGATTGCAAGTATTGGTACGTTCCTATGATACACTGTTAGATTAAAAATACATTTGCAACTGTTGATACCATCTGTCTCAGAGCTATAGATAAAAAATTAAATATTTTTATAAAGACCAAATTTTCTGATACTTTTTAAAACTAAATTCTTATATACTGGAAATGTAGATACGTAACTTCAGTATAGATTTATGGTAAAATAATTTGAATCATTTTTGTCAAATTCTGTAAAAAGTTGTCATACAGAATAATTGATAATATTTTTGCTTTCATAGTGAAGGTCATTTCTGGTAGAATATTTCAAGGCCATTTTTATTCCATGTAATTAGGTTAATAAAATTAATTTTATAAAGGATATATCAGTGATAGACAATTAGATATAAATGACTGCTTTTATAAACATGATTAAATTTGGATATTTATAAGGACACAAATGGATGAAAACAGTAAACTCATTTGGGGCTTATAAATATGTCTTTTTTAACAAATGCAGGTAGATTCTGCAGTTTGTAAACTGAAGCAACCTATATAAAATAATCTGTCATTAGTTCGCTGACTGAGGTATAAACAAATTTCATGTATAATCTAATTTTGCCTTATTTATCTGAAACTCATTTTTCCAGCACATATAAATGTATGTATTTGGGGGTCTTGCAATTTAATGGAACTCTAGGAGTCAAACGTGATATGTTTGACTTATGAATCTGTTCAATCATCTTCATAGAGTCATGTCATGGATATATCAACATAGCAAAATTAAGTAATAGCTAGATCCTTTTAAAAATTTAATGAAGGTTAATAGTTTCTTTTTTTTTTATTAGTTGGAGGCTAATTACTTTACATCATTGCAGTAGTTTTTGTTATACATTGAAATGAATTAGCCATGGATTTACATGTATTCCCCATCCCAGTCCCCCCTCCCACCTCCCTCTCCACCCGATCCCTCTGGGTCTTCCCAGTGCACCAGGCCCGAGCACTTGTCTCATGTACCCAACCTGGGCTGGTTATCTGTTTCACCCTAGATAATATACATGTTTCAATGCTGTTCTCTCTAATAGTTTCTACATAATGCACAAACAATGCTTTTCATGAAGACTCTGAAAGAGCAGGGTAAAAGATAAAGACATTTTCAAAAAATTACAGATAAAATTAAATGTAACTTACCAGTGGGTTTTAGTTTATCAATTTTAACAATGATCTAAGAGGAAATTTCTATTTTATTTTTATAGTAGTATTTTAAAATTTGCTTCTCTATTCCTCTGACAAAACCCTATTATTACTTTCAGGATCAAATGCTTTACTTTAAGTGTAGTAAGATATTAGTATTTCTTATCTCACATAAGCACTAAGCAAGATAATTTCAATGGTAAATATTTATATTTAAGAGCAAAATTAAAAACTAAATGAATAAAAATTTTACTTTCAAGTGAAACAACTTTTATCATAATATACTCCTTTGTTGGAAAAATCAAGAATTTTTTTTTCATGAATCAAATTTTATTATAAGACCTAACTAGTTTGTTTTCTTACACAGATCTTGACAACAATGAAACTTCTCATCCTTACCTGTCTTGTGGCTGTTGCTCTTGCCAGGCCTGTGAGTACAGTAGAGAGTTTAGAAGATTCTAGATTCTTGTCTGAAGTCATCTCAAATGCAATTTGATGCAAGTCTCATCAAGTGTGAGATATTGTAGTAGTAAAGAATTTGATGGTCTCTAATTAGCTATTTAAGTGTTGATATTAAAGCTATGGTAATCCTTCACATTTTGATCATTATTATTTAGTTCATTCAAAGACTTAACTCCAAATAAAATCTCTAACTTGAAATATAAACACCTGACAATAAAAAATTAAAAATTTTAAAAAAAGGAATAAGGTAATTAATAATACAATAAAGAGCATCAAAGAAGGTGATTAGTCTCCTTGCCTGGGTCCATTATAGGCTTAACATATCTGTAAACATACATATGTCCAATATTGTATTACCAAATATGCTATTAAGCTCTATATTCCAGTGTATCCACTTTTGGAACCTAAATCAAACTCTCATTTGAGATGGCTCATGCCAACCAATATTTCCCAAGGTACAGAAAGTTGGGCTCATTCAGCTGATTCAAAGATCTAATAATTTGGTCCTTGTAAGGAGAAAAACTAAATAATGTAAAGTAACTTAAGCTTCTTCTCAAAAAACAAATTCAGTTACTAATGTGAAACAAAAAGTTATTCTGTTCCTTTGTGACCTCTAGATAATGATAAATAAATAAAGAAGAATCAACTGACAAGAAAGCGATTCAAATAAAATAATAGTCATCGATATTTGGACACTCAAACTGTCAAATATAGATGAAAAAGTTTCTGAAATACTGAGATATTCTATTGTTAAACTCCTATTTTCTAAATTTTGAATAATGAAGGATCACTAATAATCCAGCTTCTTAACCAATAGAGTTCTGTCTGTGCTAAACCCTAAGCATCGAAAGAAGGAAATATCTGACAATAAGTTACAAAAAAAGGATCCGAGTTCTTCAGAAATGTATCATCGGAGTAGCCCATATCTTGTCCTTTTATCAATGAAACAGATATAGATCCTCCACCAAACAGATTCTTTAATCCTTTTCCAAAGAAAACATCATTTTTTAATGCTAATATTTAACAAACATAAATCTTGTTCCAAGCTAAAATTGGTTGAGTTAAAACAAACAGTTAAAACTAACAGTTAAAAACAGTTAAGATTGAGTTAAACTTTATATAATTTAATTTATGATAAAAAATAAAATCCAGACAAACAATATTTCAGATTATTTTTTGTCTTTTTACACACTTTTCTCCACCATATTCTAAAAACAGAAGATAATTTATTTTTCTTTGACTTTTGTCAATAAAATCATTTTTTTTCCCTCCCAGGGGAACTTGGTGTCAAATTTAGCTGTTAAAATACAAACTTCTTAAGCAGCAGTATTAAATGTATAGTATTCCATGTGCCTTGTGATATTATTATTATTGTATTTTGAGTGCTTTTGGTTTTACAATTCTTGCATTTTTTTTTTTTTAACAGAAACATCCTATCGGGCACCACGGACTCCCTCAAGTGAGTGGTCTGCACTATGTTCCAAGAACTCACTGTAATTGTGTAGCTTAAGTGATGATAAATTTGCTAATATATAGATTGCAGTCCCATTCCTCCCTTCTCTAGAAAACAGCCAGTTTCACATTCGCTGAGGTGTAATATTTTCAACTATTGAGTTGAATATTGATCTGCTCTCACAAACCTTTTTAGAGAAGAGGGCATTTGGACTACATACTTAGGATTAATAAAAATGTTATTATTCAAGAGCTGTAGTTAATTAAACAGAATATGTGTATGTGGTCTATTTTAATGGATTGTTGATTCTTTCTATCTCTTCTCTTTGCACTCAAACATATGATTTACAATTTGATCTCAGTTCACACACTGAGTATTAAATTAGATACTCTACCACACACTTCTACAAGAGTCATTAATCTTCCACCCTATCCACTGCTTAATTCATTTTTTAATCTTTATAGAATGAACCAGATAGCAGAGAGGTAAGGTTCTTTCTTTACCCCAACTAATTTCTCTTTCAGTTAGCTATGATAAATACTGAATGTCTTCTTCATTTCAATTTTCATTTGTATACATTCATTTCAATTGTATCCAGGTACTCAGATAGTTGATTACTCTCTCAATTTTCTGTTTTCATTGCATTCCTATTTAATGCCTCCTTTGGCACTTGATAAGTATGAAGTGACTAAACCTATAAGCCTGGTAAAGAAGGAACCAAATATGGTGTCTCCTTCAGATTTTAAAATAAGATCATAAAACTGAAACTAATTGTCTCTTATTTTACCTAAGAAATATTTTGGTTTACCTAAATAAATGGAGAACTTGTGTTCAAATGTAAAAACATTCTCCTTTTTTGACTGTGTTTTTCACTTTTACAATTCACAATTTAATTCCTACAGGAAGTCCCCAATGAAAATTTACTCAAGCTTTTTGTGGCGGTAAGTGTTATCCACTTCTTAAATGACAAATGTATTTTTCTGGAAAAATCAACTTAATTTTTCTTTATAAATTTTTTTCACTTGGTCAAATTTTTTCTTCATTTGCTCACCGAAGCAACCACAAAGAATATTGAAATTATATATGCAAATATCAAAAAGCTGCTTTGCTTTAAATATTAATCTGTACCTATACATTTGACTCTTTGTAAAACACTTATGCTGTCTTGTGCATAATCTATGTAAATTTTACAATTTCCATTCTCATTATGATGGAATGTTCTATCTTTACAATATCCTGGATGTATTGTATCTTCTGTAATTTCACGACTGAATTGTCAAATAGAACACAAATAGAAATTTTACTTCAAGACCACTATTTTAAAGATTTGATAGGCAACCCAACTTGGTCTGAACGATTTTTAACATAATCTTTTTTCCTTGTAGCCTTTTCCAGAAGTGTTTGGAAAGGTAAGAAATTCTGAACAGAATATACTACAGAACTAACAAAGCATTTTATTCTGTGTTATTTATGGTGTTATTCTAATTCTTTATTGCCTTTTTATGGAAATAGACACTAGATTATTGAACCAGACAAAGAGATCAAGATAACTCAGAATTATGACTTAAACAAGATGAAAGATAATAATAGTCAAATTTACTGGAGCAAAGTTTTTAAACATTTTTAAGTGCCCAGTAATGTACTAGCAGCTTAAATAAAGAAAACTTAGCAAGGAGATAATGCAAGAAATGATATAGCAAGAAATATTAGTGCATTCACAAAAAGCATATTTATTTTTTAATTTGCAGCAGCACAATGTAAGATACATTTCTTACAGATATCCATTCATTCATGTTTCTCTCTTCTTTTCTGTCCTTAAGGAGAGCATCAATGAACTGAGCAAGGTAAGGAACATAAATGATAGTTAAATTATTTTAAAGTTATCTCAAGATCATATTTTGCAACCTACAATTTTTTGGTTTTGACAAAGAGAATTTTTGAGGGAAAAACAGTGTGATGAACTCAAGGTAATGAAAATATGAAAATTTTCTTAAGGTGGTGTGTCAGAAATGCTTTGTGCAGTAGGAATAACATTTTAGAAAAAAAATTTCCTGCAACATTTATAGTTTTCTTGAACTTTCAAAAGGATTGATGAGATCTACTAAGAATTCTAAACATTGATTTTATTGATTTAACTTTGCACTGTGAGGAGACAAAGCATTAGTATAAATGAATGAATGGATGAAAGAATGAATTAGTGCAATTATGTCCTGACAGACTATTTTCACTTATCACCAAAACAGAAAGAATGTTTTATTGAGTACTACATAAAGCAATATATCTGCTCCAAAAATGTTTTACATAGACACAATTGATTTTTTACTTTCTTTAAACACAGTTTTTTGATCAAGGTTGTTTTTCAAAGTTTTAATAGCTTTGTTATTAAAAAAATACAGGTATTTAAAAATTTGCATCTTCTTAATCATTCTTCATACCTGACTGAGCATCTTTTCTTAGCAGGATACCGAGAGTGAATCAACTGAAGTAAGATTCTTTATTTTAAAACTATTAAGTATAATATAAGGGAAAGAAAAGTAAAAAATATCCTAATCAAGTACCCTTTAAATATTCTAATCAAAATGAATGAAAAATTTTCTAAGGCCAAAACTAAAACAGATATCTCTAATTCAAAGATAAAAAGATGCAACATGTATGTTGACCAAAATTGGCTGGATAACTAAACCAACGTAGTATTTTGAGCTTAAATTCTATGTATCATCTCACTGTTCTCAATACTGCTATGGCCGTGGAAACTGAACACAACATACTACATGGAAAAAATTCATTTTGCTTAAGTATTTATACATCATTGAACCAATGCTTTGTGCACTCTTATTTTTCACATAATCTTTAATCCAATGCTCTGGTTTGTCATCCAAAAGCCAAGTTAAAGAAAAAAAGAAGTTAGGCTAGTTAAAGGAAAATATAGGATATTTACACTGATTTATCAAAACACAAAAATCTACAGTACTTTTTATTGAACTCTGAAATGCAGATTAAAGAGGCAAACTCTTCAGTTAGCCTGGTAGGTAGGCTTTTTTTTTTAATTTTCCTTACCACTTCACTATTGCCACCCATTTCTATTTCCTTTGGCATCCATTTTATTTGGTAATTATCATTTTACGTTGGAATGGTTGTCATGAAAAATAAAGTAAATTCTCTTTTCTTTTCTAAGGCTCATGCCATGGAAAACACAAAGGTAAGATCTTTATTTTAATAAACTCTACACTTATATATCATAAATGGGATATGCTCTATGCTTTAAGAAAGCTATCCACTCCAATTGTGCGATTGAACTCCTCAAGCAGGGCTATCATACCCAAGAACGTACAATGTTGTGCCAGATAAAGTCAGGAGAGGAAATTTGACATTTACATGATCAGGAGAAACTTTGCTTCTTTATTAAAATCAAGAGTAAAAAGCAAAATGTGCATGATTGTTTAAAAATGAAACATCCCACTCAAAAAAATTAAAACCCTGCTTCTGTCATGCCAGGGTAAGAGTTCACTCTCTTGTGTGTTGAGGGTGGTCTTTGGACAGAAAGAATCTATTGCAGCAATTACGTAGGATCAATGGGCTATGCTGTTGCTCAGTCGCTCAGTTGTGTCCAACTTTGTGACCCCATGGACTGGAGCATGCCAGGCTTACCTGTCCTTCACCATCTCCCAGAGCTTGCTCAAACTCATGTCCATGCTATCCAACCATCTCATCCTCTGACATCCCCTTCTCCTCCTGCCCTCTATCTTTCCCAGCACCAGGGTCTTTTCTAAAGAATCAGATCTTTGCATCAGGTGGCCAAAGTATTGGAACTTCAGCTTTAGCATCAGTTCTTCCAATGAATATTCAAGATTGACCTCCTTTAGTGATTCCTCCACTCTTCTCCATAGCATATTGGACACCTAGTGACCTGGGGAATTCATCTTTCAGCGTCATATCTTCTAAACTTTTCATTCTGTTCATGGGGTTCCCAAGGCAAGAATGCTGAAGTGGTTTTCCATTCCCTTCTCCAATGGGCTATGCTACCTAATCTCAAAACATGGACAAAATTCATTAGCCCATAATATTTTTTATTCAACTCTCCCAAGAGATGAATATTTTGCTGCATATTAGAATCAATATCTTAGTATGTATTTGGGAACAGAAATCGTGTCCACATGTAAATGTAAACATCTATGACTTAGGAAAAAAACTAAATGTTTCATAGAGTAAGACTTTTAAAAGCTCATGTAATTTTAGTTCCATTCTGAAATTGATTGTTCTATTTTAATATTTCCAATTTATTTACATCAAAATTGCCCCAAGTGTATGTGAGTATATTAACTCAACCCAGGGTTTCAGGTAGCCTAGCTCAATAGGATTCTTCATTCCATGTTTCATTTTTATCACAAAAATTCATATGCATTTGCATTCTACTCAAGAAAGTATCTGTGTTTGTTTTAATAAAAGGTTTTAAATTACAAAGTAAGTTATTATACTCTCCTCTCCAACTTATTTTAAATAAAATTGACAATACAAAAAAAGTATATTTTATTGGCCCTGAATCTTTTTATACCCAATTGTTTTCACTAAAAACTAGTTAGCAACCCAGTATGAAAGTGTGGAATAGTTTCTTTCTAATTCTATAAGTCTCAGAGGCAGTAACAATGATTTTCTTTATTTTAGCAAGTGGAATCTGGAAGCAGTTCATCAAGCGAGGTATATCATTTTTATGTTAATTTTCAGTATCCCAATTAGACAATGTTTATGAAAGTTTGTTGAACCATAAAGTTTACATGTCCCACAAGGTTTCATTGTACAAGGCACTATGTATGCAGCTCTATCCTAACTTTTAACATACAAGGCTATCAACCCAAAAAATGTAAGAAAACAATTATTTGTCAGAGATAAAATTACAGATTTCTTTCTGGGCAAATAATCCTATCTGGATATCTGTGGTGTCCAAACATTATTTTTCTAATTTTTTTTTCCTTCCCAGATTTTGGTAGAACTAAATCTTGTCACTGAAAATTACAATAATGGCTATGCTTCTAAACTGTGAAATATAAACATGATATATCCTTTGTGGAACTCAGTCAATTCTATGTTAAAGAGACTGAAATTCTTTGCTATTTGTTAACCTAGAGGAGAAAAAGAGAAGGCATACAAGGTGATGAAGTCCTTAAACTTTGGAAGCAGAACTTCATCCAATTTACAGAATAAACCCAGCTCCATTATGCAGAGTTTCTGTGAATTCAGTTAAAAGTGAATACTTCACAATCACCTCCAACATTCTGAATAACTTCCCTGGTGAAAGCAGTGAGAAAAGAGAACCTTGAATATCACATGTACTTTGAATGTTCATCTTAGCTAAATTACCCAGAAATTTGTGGCCTAAAATCAGTTTACCACAGATAAGCTATGATGTGTCTGGTTTATTAGCATTTTTTTATCTCGAATGTGAAATTAATGTCATAAAACTAACAATACATGTTTTTTATTTTTTAAGGAAATTGTTTCCAATATTGCTGAGGTGAGATATATTTACTAAATTTAAAATATATTAACATCATCCAGGATATCTTAAAATTTAATTAAACTTTATATTTTTTTAATTTTTTAGCAGAAACAGGTTAAAAAGGAAGATGTGCCCTCTGAGCGTTACCTGGGTTATCTGGTAAAATTTTATTAAAAGTTAACCAAAGACCAATGTATCAGGGAATGAGTAAGAATGTTGTATTGATAAACTATCTCTCCTTTTCAATATCTGCTAAACTTAAAACAAAGTGAGCAGTCTAACAGATTCTAGCAGTGAACTGATCCCTTCTGAAAATAAAACTGACAACTTTTTAAATCCCAGATATTTAATTCATACTCTCATTTGAATATTTGTGTACTGTAGTCTGCTTTTAGATCTGATTAGCACAGTATTGAAATGGCATGCTATAGATTTGACTAGACTTGAGTTTGACTCTAAGCTCTACCTTTTACCAGCATGTGATATTAGACAATTTCCTTATCTGTTGTAAGTCTATAGTCTAAGTTCCACAGTGACAAAATAATAATAAATATTTAAGCATATAAAGCAATTAATACAAGCAAGCCATAGTGCAAAGTAAGCCCTCGGTAAATGTGGCTAGTATCAGAAACATCATTTTTCCCCACTTCATTGAATATTCTGATTTAATTTGAAAAAATCAGAAAACAAATGGGGCTTCCCAGGTGATGCTAGTGGTAAAGAACCCTTCTACCAATGCAGGAGACTCAGGCTTGATCACTGGGTTGGGAAGATGCCCTGGAGAAGGGCATGGCAACCCACTCCAGTATTCTTGCCTTGAGAATTCCATGGACGGAGGAGCCTGGAGGGCTATATCCATAGAATCACAAACAGTTGGGTACGACTGAGGTGACTTAGCACAGCACAGAAAGTAAATCTGTTTTCAATTTTCTTAGCAATTCTGATATAATATACACTATAAGCAAAACTGCTTCAGTTCAGTTTAGTTCAGTCCCTCAGTCATGTCCAACTCCTTGTGACCCCCTGGACCGCAACACACCAGGACTCCCTGTCCGTGACCAATACCCAAAGCTTGCTCAAGCTCATGTCCATTCAGTGATGCCATCCAACCATCTCATCCTCTGTCGTCCTCTTCTCCTCTCCTGCCTTCAATCTCTCCCAGCATCAGGGTCTTTTCCAATGCATCAGTTCTTCGCATCAGGTGGCCAAAGTATTGGAGCTTCAGCAAAAGTCTTTCCAGTGAATATTCAGGACTGATTTCTTTTAGGATTGACTGAATACTTATTTATATCTGACTGCATTATAATAAATTTTAAGTTAAAAATAAAATAACAAGGTAGTTTTTCTATTTAAAAAAAAAAAAGAATCATTGGATTAACCCAAATTCTCTGTGGTAGAAACAACACTAAAGTAAGATTATTAGCTCTTGATTCTTTACTCCTGGGAAAGGGATACCATGAAGGATGGTATCCATGAAATTGACAATATTTTTTCTTTTTGAATAGGAACAGCTTCTCAAACTGCAAAAATACAACCTACCCCAGCTGGTAATATTTTATTATAATAATACAAAATTAGGTCTACAGAATTAAAATAATTAAATGAAATTTACTTTGACTAAATTCTACATCAAATCATCTTAGAGCCTCCCAAATGATTCATTATATTCTGTAATTTGTTCTGCATTTATTTTCCCAAATTCAGTTCTGGGTGTTGATTCCATATATATGCTTCCTTGTGAAAGCACAGATTATTGCCAAATAGACTTTCCATTTAAGAAAACAATGTAGACTCTATAGAAGGAATCAGGGATCCCATATATTCAAATTGCTTTTGTCAAAATTCTCTGAGAAAGAATTGGCAAGTTGATTGATCTCATTGTCTCTAGACCCATTTTCTTATGTGTGAAATGGAAATACAGTTATTTTCACTTCCTGATGTTGTTTTGAATATTGAATGAGCAATCTCCTACTCAGTTATCCCTGAGGCTAGCTTGTGGCAAGTCCAATAAAATGTTCAAAAAATTTTTCCTTCCCCTAATCCCTAGACTATAAAATTTGCTATGTTTCTCAGACCTCTGACAATATTATGATGGTTTTGTTTTTTGTTTTAATCAAGATGTGCATTTGAACTATGAAGTCATAAACTATCTGCTGATAGTATGGATACATCTAAAAAGTATCTATTAGCACAATCCAGCTTCACTATTTAGTAGTATCAATCCTTTTGAGTATTATAGCTTTTCACTTGGGAGGTCATAAATTTTTCTTTTAGTTATGCCAAATAAGCTTGATTAATTAGGACTTTAGGGAAAAGGACTTGTCTTAATTTAGCAAAATTACATTTTCACATTTTTATTCTGTTACAATTGTAGGAAGGAGGAAGTCAATAATGAATTTAATTTGGATCTCAGTGTCATTCTTGCTTCAGTTTCCAAGTAGCTTATGTTGCTTTGGGCTTAGAATCCAAATAAATTTAGATATATAAGTACCACTATCAAACTTATTACTAATCTAAGAAATTACATGAATAATATATTTTAGCACCTTAGTTATGATTAGGCTGTAACCTCCACAAGTGTTAGAACGATATGGTCCTGCTCATAGTGTTCACTGCTCATAGTGTTCATTATTATTTATATCATAGATGGTCCCTAGCATTTAGCATAGACCCGCAGTGAATGGAGGTACCTAGCAAATGTCTGTGATTCACACATGAGTAAAATCAATGTACTGAAATAAAGTGATCTCTCTTTCTGAGGAAGTTATTCATGATCATATAAGATTATTTATTAAATCTAGAATATTTTAGTATTTTCTTCACGTGTTGTTTTTATAATGTGTGTTCCTCTTTCTTTTTTTAACAGAAATAAATATAATCCAAGGGAGAAATTTTTCTACTACCCATATTTGATAAATGTTTTATTTAAAATTTATAAAAGATAAAATGTAAACAACTGATTAATAGTCATGAACAGAAAATATGTAGTCCTAGGGAATTGCTAGATTATTTTCCCCCAGATATGAAACTTATAGATACTTTATCCTTCCAAACTATAGTAAATATAACATTGAGTTGAATATTTTTTCTAAAGTTAGAAAATTAAAGATATATTGCTAATTTTCAAATTTTGGCAGAGTATACAGTTTATCCTAATCTTCACAGATGATAATATATTCATGGTAATTGTAAAGTGAATGTGTTATATCAGAAGATATCTAAGTAACTTAGAATATATTTCCTTCTATTTAGGAACAACTTCACAGTATGAAAGAGGGAAAACATGCCCAACAGGTAATATTTTGCTTAATGAATTACATAATGATAATATGTTGCAAAGTTTAAATATGCTTGCTTTTAAATAGCTTCACAATTTTGAAGAGACTTCTTTCTTCTCAGGTGGTTATTTTTCACTCCCAACTTTCTGAAACAATTTGTAGTAATCAATCTGAGAAAGGAGAACTATTTGCCTTTCTTTGCAATGGGAGCTGTTCTGTTCTGTCCGTCTCACCTGACAGCAGCACCTTTGTAATTCTCAACACTATGAAATGTTAATTTCTCTTTTAAGGTATTCCTAAATTTTATATCTTTATGTACATGATTTGATTCTTAAATTCAACAGATTTAGGAAATTCAAGCTCACAATTATGCTATTTCAAGCAAGCCACTTGGAGATTTATTAATACTAATTGAAACCTTTAGAAGAAACTGGAGAGATATTAAATGTCTCTGTCAAAAAACCTTTCTGATCCTCGTATTTATCTATAATATATAATAGAAACTGATTCTTCCTCTGCCCTGCATCCCATTGATTCAGTAGTGCTCCTGGGGCTTTTGATTTCATTTTTAAGGTGACAACCAGATACTGTGAAATATGTGCTGCTATTACAATTCTGATTCATATCAAAAGCTATGCCAATTTCAATCACTTCTTCCATTTAGTGAATCTTATGAGGATTGTTGAGTATATTTCATATGTCTTAGAAGAAATAATATCTAGATAATGCAATTGGCAAAATTATTAGTGTGAATTCCCAGATCTCTAACATGAAAAGCATTTCAAAAAGTTTGCTTCTTACATTTTTTGGTTTTATTCAGCCTTAAAAGATCACCCTGACTCTTTTTTTTTTTTTTTCCAGAAAAAGCCTATGAAAGGAGTGAGTCAGGTAAGTGTGTGTTTGTGTGTGTGTTTTAATACTACCCCAAACTATCTATTGGTAGCCACTGTTTTTTGGAAATTATTTAACTAGTTGCATCAAGAAGTAGTGCTCTGCTAGTATTTCTTAGTTGTTGACTGGTGTTGGACTCTAACATTGCTGGCTCTAACATTGCTATGAAAGATCAGATCTAAGTTGCCAAAGGAAGTGAAAGAACAAATGGCCATCCCTGGGTGAAGACAGCTTCCGGTCAACTTTTAAGTTAGAACAACCTCAACCAGCTATTCATGTTGTTCACATTTGACTTTTTATTAATCTATAGTACTGTCAGGTCTTCTTAAGTTTTCAGTCTTAGATCTAATCTTATGACCTTGAGCAAGCTGTGTTCTCTCTGAGCCTTGCTCTTTTATTTGGAAAATTAATATGAATCTAACAATCTGTTTTCTTCCCAAACTCACATATCTTGACTTTTGCAGTGTTCTTTTGTGTCTTCACTTTTAAAGGTGGTAACTGCATTCAGTTCAGTTTTTTTGGGCCTTTGATAGTTGAGCTTAAATATAGTAAGCTAATTAAAAAATTAAACTGTACAAAGAAAACCATGGAGTTTTATAAATATGAATCTGATAAGGGATTAAACAAGATTCAAAACTAGTTGTCATCAATCAATTTTATGATAATTATTCTTTAATGTGAATCATATTTTGCTCTCAAATTCTTCTAAAATTCTCTCTTCACTCATGGACCAAAGTAAGAGAAAAGAAAAGACAATTACGTAGTTCATTGAATTCTAAAGTGTACACCATCCTCACCTTTCCATGTAATTTTTAAAAAAATGAAGGTGATCATTCTAATCTTAATAAGAGCACTTGGTAGTGATACTTTAGTCTATTATGACATTTAACTGGGTTTGAATCACAAACTATTTTTTCTCTCTCTCCCTTAAGGAACTGGCCTACTTCTACCCTCAGGTGAATTTATTTTATTTTTATATTAATACTAATAAGAAAACATCTCAGATATCATACTTATTATAATTGTTAGGAGAGGCAACCACAGCAAAACTTGAAATGCTTTCTTTGGCTTTTCTAATTCCATCAAAAAACATATATTTTCCACCTGAATATATAAAGAATTATATTAATACACAGAAACAAATAAAAGGTCACGATAGATTAAGAGAGGTAACTATTCCAGAATTTCAGAAAAGAAATAATGCTTTTGCACCAAAACCTTATGGTTATGAAGCGGCACTGGGCTCGGAATTAGAGAATTCTCTTCTCTTTATTCTCGGCATTTCTGAAAACCCTGTATTATTCTGGGATGAGGACCTTCCCTTTTTTTGAGCTGTCTTCATGGAAAACTAAACTATAGAACAGAAAGGCAAAAATGACCTTCTCTAGTCCAAATGCCCATGAGTTGATAAATTATACAATAATTAAATGCCTACTACCAGTTTCCTCTGGACTTTGGTAACTGGACCTGTGTTAGTCATGCAGGTTCTTGGAGTTCGACACTGACTATTGATCTTAAAGAAGTGATTTATTCATTACCCCTCAGGTACCCTAAGAAAAGCCCTTTCCAAAATTTCCTTACTGTGATTTAGCATAGGAAAGAGTTTGATTTCTCTGTTTTCCTCACAGAGGAAACATCTCTCGTGATGCGAATAGCCACGTCTGAAATGAATGCAATGATTCATTTTCAGAGATTCAAAACTGATTTCTCCCACACTGTTGCTTTTTCAATGGTCTTTCTCTCTAGCTTTTCAGACAGTTCTACCAGCTGGATGCCTATCCTTCTGGTGCCTGGTATTACCTTCCACTAGGCATTCAATACACCGAGGCCCCATCATTTCCTGACACCCCTAACCCCGTTGGCTCTGAGAACAGCGGAAAGATTACTATGCCACTGTGGTGGTAAGTTCATTTAAATGACTGCATACTGTTGTCTTATCAAAGAAATGAAAGAAAACATAACATACAAATAGATTTAGAATAAACAGTGACACACAAATGCTTAGTGTCCTATGCTAGAATTTTCTGAAATGGAAAATTGGTGGTAATTTTCTGATATATGGCTAATGTTAATACATTACTCGGGAACATGTGGAGCAGTGCTATCTATTTGGTAAGTGATATTCATTCTGATGAAATTAGGAGGAAAATTTTCTCTCCAAAGTAAAAATTCAACTTTATCCTCCTTGCACTTTTGCTAATCTTTAAATACCTTTCTTTTGATTATACCCATGATATACATTAGAATGCCGTGTGGAGGATAAAGCACAGATTTTGGCATTCCTAAATTCCTAACTTGAAATTTTGATTTTTTTTTTTTTTTTTTTATTTGAGATAATATAATGATGCTTGTTTTTATAACCTTGAAGGTGATTAAATATAAGAATCTATTAAGAATACTTCTGGGAAAATAAGTAGTGTTCATTTTTTGATTCAGCAAAATTTTATTACTAACTACCTTACTCACATTTTACCAATTTTTGTTCCTTCAGAAGAGTCAAGTGAATTCTGAGGAACTCCACAATTATGGTCTTTGGTAAGTTGGAAATTGATGTCTAATCATTGATCCTCTTTTCATATGAGAATTCAGTACAAAGATACAACTGTAGACTATAAAATTGTTTTGCTGGTCCTGTAGTCTAGCTATATATAGACACATTACACTTAGATAATATCAATAATTAAATTGGCTTCAACATTTTTTGTATTATAATAATATTAAATTTCAGTAGCAATAAAATTAGCCAATTTTAATTAATATAATTTATTATATTGAAATTTCTATTCAAGTATAAGAGTGTGGGTGTTGATAATTCTGGTGACCCCAACAGTGGAATCCTATTCTTTATGATCACTGAAATAGAAATACTTAACAAGTCACATAGTGAAATCAAGTGTTTGTCTATTAAGAAGAAAACAGATTTAAATGTCCATAGATGTGTTTTGATTACTTCAATTTACTATATTGAAGCTTGTAGTTGTGTGTGTATGTGTGTATGTTCCCTCTCTAGTGGTGGAAACTTGCCTTACAACAGATCAAAAGAAGGAAAATAAAAGTCTGACGTACTTGGAAGTTTTTGCTTTGAATTACTTTGCGATATTTTCTGTTACTGCAAAAGAAAGTGCAACCTAGTCATAAAAAAAGTGAAGTTGCCTAGTCATGTCTGATTCTTTGCAACCCCATGGACTGTAGCCCACCAGGCTCCTCAGTCCATGGAATTTTCCAGGCAAGAGTACTGGAGTGGGTTGCCATTTTCTTCTCCAGGGGATCTTCCCAACCCAGGGATCAAACCCGAGTCTCCCACACTGCGGGCAGATGCTTTACCGTCTGAGTCACCAGGAAAGCCCAGTCATAAATTCCCTGTAAAACTTAAAAATCAGGAACAGTGGGTATGTGTTAGTAACAGGAGACATATAACTTTGTGAACTTCATCTTAAGATGAAGAGAAAATGACTATTAAAATGTATCTTATCATAACAGTACCTTCTCCCTTCAAAACATGTAACATAACTAACCACATATTTCTTTTTTGATTTACAGATGGGACTGAAAATTCCATGCTCTACATGTTTTTAATCTATCATGTCAAACCATTCTATCCAAAGGCTTCAACTGTTATTTTAGAATAGGGCAATCTCAAACTGAAGGCACTCTTTCTTCTTGAGTTCTTTACTGTATTTTAGGTAATGTAACATCCTTAAGTGAAATTGGCCTAACAGCTTGTTACCTAAATTCCAGTAGTATCATGCTGGTATAAAGGCCACTGAGTCAAAGGGAATTAAAGTCTTCATTAAATTTCTATATGGAAAATCTGCTTTAAAAGCCTTTGAATCACTTCTCCTGTAAGTGCCATCATTTCAAATAATTGTGTGCAGTAACTGAGCTTTTGTCTTTCTTCTTTTCAATAAATTACATTTTAAGGCACTATTCCTATTTTTTTGTCATTATTCCATTGGGAGGAATTTACACAACCTTGTGAGTTTGTATGTGTATAACATTTTGCTTTCACTAAATTTTTATGACACTTTCAACCACATTTTAAAGAAAAAATTCAAATGTTCACTTCTAGCTGATGCTGGTTGATTATAAACTGAGTCTAAGATTTTTCATTTGAGGTCAACTGTTTATAGAATATTTCCCATGAGAACATAAGTGTGGTTTCAGAGAGAACAACACTGTAGTAGTTGTGGGTGCACTGTGAATTTGAACAACCTGGTTGTACTGTTTAATTATGCAAGACTTGCTGGAGCCCAATCCATTTGATCATACTTGAATTTATAACTAGGTAGATTACAAAATAACCATTGTAAAGGTTAATACATGGCACACAGTAACAGAGCATTCACAGTGAGCTGTTCAGTGTCCTCCAAAACTCTGAGGAATTACTTCTCAAAATGACAATAGTTGCTTACTCTGATATCTTTAAAGCCCCGGGAGAAATTTACTTTCCTGGCTTTATTCTAGGATTCCCAACCAACCCAATCTGTCATGACTCATTAAGAACCTTGTATAACCCAGGTCGCAAAACACAGGTGACAAAGTCTCTTATATAACAGCTTAGACCATTTATATCAGTTGTTCTGTTTCTTACTGATTATGTATATATGTATACAAAACATTGAAACATGTCAGTTTTGCCTTGAAATTTTTTAAAAAATCCACTTAGTATTAGGTCTCCTTCCTCCTCTATGTTAAGAAGTACAGGGTGCAACAACTTGTTATTCAATCTAGAGAAGTTTTGTCAATATACTCAAAATACTGGATCTGGCAGAAGTTAACGGAGGGTGCAGATTCATACGTCCTCATAAAAGATATCTCCTGACTTCTGTCACCTTGTCAGTTCCCGACAAGGTGACAGTAAAAACTGTCCCATGAGAGAGAAAGTTCTGTTTTTAAGACGAAAGGAAACGGTTTCTGGTATTTTTTTTTCTTTAGCTAAGTCAGAATGGAAAAAAAATTAATTTATAGCTACATATGAATGGAAAAAATTAATATCAGGAATTTGCCTGACATGTAGCATATTAAAAATACCACCTGTAATAGGGGTTATAACCTCATCAAATTTGAAATAATCTGTTGTTATACTCCAAGAAGCTATTTTAAAGGCCAAATGAGGAAGTGGAATAATTATGTAATTCACTATCTTTTAGTCTTCATCTTTTAGTGTTCAACACCTGTAATTCCTCAAGAAATGCAAATTATGATTTTATGATAGAAAGAGACACAAGAATGGCTTCTATTTAGCATTTTTTGACCTCCTTATTCCATAGGTCAAGGGGATAATATGGGGATTAGAGGAGTGTCTAAATGTATCCAGTCAAACATTACACTCTGAACTGATGACTTATCATAAATGGTTTAGAATATCACTAGGCTTAAAAGGAGGCAAACTCAGGTGGCAACATAAATTATTACTCAATTCAAAGAAATCTCAACATGAACAATAGAGTATCAGGACATTTCTCCATCCAACTAATGAGTGATGAGACAAAGCATGGATCTCAGAGTCTGTAAGAAGATTACATAGTTCCTTTTATCCAGGTAAATGCTTCAAATTCATAATCTGAAGGCAAGTACCAGAGTTGGAAATATGATGTTATAGTATGATCTTTCCTATAGAATTTTGATGTCCCTTTCATTCTAGGAGTATAGCTCCATAAATTGATTCTTATTTGTAAATAGCAGGTGGGGTGAATCATCACTCGCTCTGATAGCAGCTTGAGCCAGAGTTTTGTTCAGCAAATTATGTTCACTAGAAAATTTTTGTATTGCTACATCAAAAACCAGCGTGATAAAAAAAAAAAAAAAAAAAACAGCGTGATAACACAACCATTAAATTTTCCTAAGGATGTAATAATTAGCCTCACACAGAGATCACATCTGGTTTGACCATTTCTCATGAAATAATTGCCCCATTCACTATATCTCTGAAATTTTTAATTATCACCTATCACCAGTTACCACTAAGTTTGGTGACACTAGTCTTGTTTCACTTTCCCTGAGGTAAGAAATGCAATTGCAATAATTTGCACTTCCAACTAGAGTTTTCAGTCAACTGTAGTTAGGCAGTAAATATTTTTGTAAGAATTTACCCTTCATGGAAAAGTTTAAAGGAGAGGTATTGATGCTTTTACTATAGACACAGGGAATTGATGGACCATTCGTACTAAGTACAGCTTTTTACAGATGCTTAAATGTTTCCATTTTGATTGTGGTTACCAAACTGACCTCTAGAACTTCACAAATAATACAAGTGAGTAAAAGAAATGATTGTGAAAATCTTTCTAAGAATGAACTGACAAATGTATGCATTCCTCTTCTGCTACTCCCTCCATTCTACTGTTGCACGTAGAAAGGAATGTACAAGTTACATGTGACCAAATATTGTGACTCTAGAAGAAACTAGAAACACCGGTTGGTGTGTAAGATCTCCTAATTTTTTAACATGGTCTAACACGGAAAAAACATGTGTATTTTTTCCTTTTTTAATACAAACTACACAGCCCCTTTCTTTTTATTGGCCAAATCCATCCCTTAAGGTACTAGTCTATTTACTATGCTGTGCATTAAGTTAAGAACTTTCCAGGCCTTCTGATTTCTACTTCCAGTTCATATCAAGGTTGAATCTTAGTTATAATGAAGAAAAATGAGAGGTTGGAAATTAAGGTAACAATTAGCTGCAGTAAACAAATCATAATTTTACCATGAAAAAGAGTTACAGGGAGACTTTCAAGAGCATTTGGGATCTGGATGTTCTCTAAATTTTCCATATCTTCCAACGTATTTCACTTTCAGTAGTTGGGATTCTACTTTCATAAATTTCACAAGACCTACCCAGTTTGTGAATCAGGTCACTTTAATTACTATAGATTAAATATTTGTGACCCCCCCCCCCGAAATCCATATATTGAAGCTCTAGTACCCAGTGTGATGGCATTTGGAGGTGGCAACTTTGGAGTCAATTGGGTCATAAGAGTGGAATAACTATGAGTGGGATTAGTTCCATTAAGAGAAAAGATATGAGAGAGATGATCTTTCCTCTCTCATGTGAGGATACAGTAAAAAGGCCAGGAAGTGACTCTTCATTATTTGCGGATCTGCTGGCACCTTGACCATGGACTGCCAGTATTTAGAACTGTGAAAAACAAGTGCCTGTTGCTTAAGCCATTTGGAATGTGGTATTTTGTTTTGAAGTGCTGAACTAAACATTAATTTTATAATTCAAAAATTAGACCTTGGATTTTTTTTTCCAAAAATATAAGGTTTATTATGGCCATGAGTGGTGAAAGTTTCATTAACACAGAACTATGAGGTATGGAAACATGGTTGGATTCTGTCAAGAATCTTATGGTTCCAAATGACACAAATAAACCTTATCACAAATTAATGGAAAGAAGAAAAGTGAAAGTGTGAATCGCTCAGTCGTGCTCAACTCTCTGTGACCTCGTGTACTGTAGCCCACCAGGCTCCTTTGTTCATGGAATTCTCCAGGTAGGAATACTGGAGTGGATAGTCATTTCCTTATCCAGAGGATCTTCCCAATTCAGGGATCGAACCCAGGTCTCCTGCATTACTGTCAGAGCCAACAAGGAAGAGATTTATTAATTCATGCAACAAGTTGGATTTTTGCCTTTGTCTTTGACTTTGTGGATCACAACAAACTGGAAAATTCTTCAAGAGAAGAATACCAGACCACCTTACCTCCTTCCTGAGAAATCTGTTCGCTGCTCAGAAGCAACAGTTAGAACCAGACATGGAACAACAGACTGGTTCCAAATTGGGAAAGGAGTATGTCAAGGCTGTCATCACCCTGCTTATTTAACTCATATGCAGAGTACATCATACAAAATGCCAGGCTGGCTGAATCACAAGCCGGAATCAAAAATTTCTGGGAGAAATATCAATAAACTGAGATACGAAGATGACACCACCCTTATGGCAGAAAGCGAAGAAGAACTAAAGAGCCTCTTGATGAAAGTGAAAGAGGAGAGTGAAAAAGCTAGCTTAAAATGCAACATTCAAAACTAAGATCATGACATCCTGTCCCATCATTTCACGGCAAATAAATGGGGAAACAATGGAAATAGTGAGAGACTTTATTTTTGGGGGCTCCAAAATCACTGCAGATGGTGACTACAGCCATGATTAAAAGATGCTTGCCCCTTGGAAGAAAAGCTATTATCAACCAAGACAGCATATTAAAAAGCAGAGACATTACTTTGCTGACTAAGTTCTGTCTAGTCAAAGCTATGGTTTTTCCAGTAGTCATGTATGGATGTGAGAGTTGGACTACAAAGAAAGCTGAGCACCAAAGAATTGATGATTTTGACCTGTGGTGTTGGAGAGGACTCTTGAGAGTCCCTTGGACTACAAGCAGATTCAACCAGTCCATCCTAAAGGAAATCAGTCTTGAATATTCATTGGAAGGACTGATGCTGAATCTGAAAATCCAATACTTTGGCCACCTGATGTGAAGAACTGACTCATTGGAAAAGACCCTGATGCTGGGGAAGATTGAAGGCAGGAAGAGAAGGGGACGACAGAGGATGAGATGGTTGGATGGCATCACCAACTTGATGGACTTGAGTTTGACCAAATTCCAGGAATTAGTGAAGAACAAGGAAGCCTGGCATGCTGCAGTCCATGGAGTCATGAAGAGTCGGACACGACTGAGTGACTGAACTGAACTGAATGGAACAGTTGTATTTAGGAACTTGATTGTGGCCATTAACACTTTTGTTCAACCTCTGCCATCATTCTTACATAGACTAAACCCCATGGGTTTATTATCATCAAATCCTAATCCTAGAGGAAGTGACTATATTGCAGTTTCCCTGAGTGTCCATGCATCAGTAGAGGAAAGTTAGTTGGCTCTAGCTGGTTCAAGAACCTCTCCTATTGGAGATAAGGGATTGTGGTATAATC